CAAAAAATAAATAATGGAGATCGATCCTTCTATTTTGCATAGCTCGGTAATTCTCTTTTGAGTCTTTAGAAATGCACACTAAAATTACTTCTCGATAACATCCGTTGTTACATTGATTGTAATTGTATAATGATAAAAAAAGGAAAAAGAAAAAAACAAANTACATATATAATTTTATATATATATATATATATGAAATTCACGTTTATTGTATATATATATATACACACAAGCCGCGCGACACAAGAGAAATCGGTGTGTATATATGTATATTATACATGCATATGAAAGAAATCTCACGCAAGTGTCTTATTTTTCCAGGATGTTCACCGATAATTAAACGGAGAGAAAGAATTAAAAAAAAAAAAAGAGAGAGAAAAAAATGTAAAAAAGAAAGATGATAAACATAAAAAAAAACGACGGAAGAAGTTGGAAGAAATTGCCACAAGGTAGATACGCGCGAATTTGTGGTAGCGTATTCCGTTTCCGACGGAAGTCGCTACACCATCGCGACCGGAAGTCCGCGCCAGAATATGTTAGAGTTTTTTTTTTTTTTTTCCTTTCTCCTTTTCGATATGCGGACAATGTCCCTTAACGTAGATGTTTTAACGTGATATATGTATGTATATTTTTTTTATCCAAATCATTTGTCGACTTATTATTCTCTTTTTTTTCCCCCCCTTCTTTTTTTTTTTTTTTTTTTCTTTTTATTTTAGCTTCTTTATTTTTTCTATTTTCTTTTTTTTTTCGTAGCTTTGATTTTATATATCACGTATTCGTAGAAACGTGACATCGTAAATGAGGGGAGATTGTTGAATCGAGTTTAACGCAATTTAATAGAGTGTCTTTTCGTTAGACGTGTATGCGAAAAATCTATTTTTCTTCTATTTTTCTCTTTTTTTTTTAGATGCAATTTTATCGAGCGTTTTTTTAATTGTTTAATAATCTTAAATTAACGAGAGGAATGAGAATATTCTTAAAGGTATATTTATGTCGTATTAATAATTAATGATCGATATGATGATTGAAAAAAGAAAATAAGATAGTTGAACGAAATATAAAATGTACGTATTATTTAATCGACCGATCGTAGAAAGAGGAGGAAGATGATAATGTATATGTAAGAACGAATAAAAGAGTAAAATAAGATTTTGAAAGATGAAGATGATATTTTCTCGAGTAACGTACTGCGGTATAATAACTGTGATGATACTGGCCTGCTCATCTCTGTTGCACTTTCTTCCAATTATTCGAGCAGTTA